GATGCTCAGGTATGGGCAGGTAAAATTCTCTAAAAATCTCAAAACCCTACTCTTCCTGAATTCTGAACTTCATTTTGGTTACCTGATGAACAACGAAGATTTTTCTTATCGCGAATCAACAAGAAATTCATACGATAGAACATGGTTTTTCTGTTTCATTTTCATCAAATCGGCCGCTTACTAAGAAAATGCATGATTGGAAACAAGATAATCTATGATTTACAGGCAATGAATGCGTGCACACATTATATATAAATGTGTTTATACATGTATCTACATACTACATATATGTACGTTTAGCTTGCTTCTGAAACGGTAGTGTACATAATTTATCTTTTAGCTTGCCAGCTACTGATATATTGGATCGATCATCTAAACTATAACAGGATAAAAGGAGTTCTAGTATCATCTCTATACACACATAAGAGACGTTTTTAGTTGATGATTGTAACAACAGAAGCTAATCGAGAATTTATAGGCAGTGAATGCATGCACACATTATATATATGTGTGTATACATGTATCTATATACTACATATATGTACTTTTTATAGAAAAAGTCTGGGATTGAAGCCTATGAAACTGCGGTGTACATAACTTATCTTTTAGATTGCCAGCTACTGAAATATTGGATCGATCCTCTAAACTATAACAGGATAAAAAGGAGTTCTAGTATCATCTCTATATACACATAAAGAGGTGTTTTTAGTTGATAATTGTAACAAGAGAAGCTCCTGTTACCAGAAATGTGGAAGAGAAATGAAGAAGAAAGAGATAGAGGGGAAATTAAGTTATTTGCTAACTCATAAAAAACCTAAGAGGCGTTTGAGTTGATAATCCCTTGCTTAGATACAGCGATTTTAGGCCTTACTAATTTTCCGTTTCTTGAGGGTAAGCAGGGAAGGATAGATAGTATGTCTTCTGGTGAGAGATAACTATCCAAAAAAAGAAGAGAAAAGTATGTCTTCTGGCGACAGAGTTGGTGTAAAGTTCAATTGAATCCAATGTTTCTGAATGAAATAGGGGATTCGTACTGACTGTAACTAATTTGGGATTGGTATTGAAGATTGATTGACAAATCTAAAATCCCTAATTATAGGAATGTTATGTAGCCATCTTTTACTATGATGTGTCTGCTTAAGTCATGATGTAAAAAATTACTAATTCCTGCAGAGCTTAGTTATATTAAAACCACCCTCAGGCTTGTTTTAGTGGGTTCTGTGTGGTGTTTCTCGCAATGCTATGAATATGTCCATGCACTTATGCTATGATTGCTTTTTGTAGGGATAAAACAATGATTATGGTGTGTTTGGCACGAAGGAAAATGCTTTCCTAGGAAATAAGTGATTTTCTTACTTACTTTCTTGTGTTTGGTGTGTAACAAAAATGTTATCCTCAAAAACATGTGTATATAATCTAGATAAATACTATAGAGATGGGGTGGGGTTGGTGGGGATGGGGATGAGGGCTATGGGGTGAGGGGTGGGGTGGGGTGGAAATAGGGATGGGATGTGTTGGAGGGTGGGGAGGAGACAATCACTGTAGAATGCTTCATATGGAACTTGTTTTTCTACTTCTACCGGGGAAGTCTTCTTTATTATTAATTTTAAGGAACCTGTTTTCCGAAAGCATATGTTTTCCAAAATTTATTATAAGCATGGAGAAATTGAAACATTTTCCAACAAACACACCTTTAAGGTAAGAAAAAAAGAAATGAAAGATCATAGTTTGGTTTAGAGCAATGCACAATGAGAGCAACTGTATGGTGTGAAGATCTCTAGGGTCCTTTGTTGTTTTTGTCGTTGGATGTTTGTCATTCAACAAATGCTTTCACTTTCTTCTGGTTAGCAAATGGCTAACTTCTTTTTACCTAGGTTTTAACAAAATGTTAGAGGCTTTGATACCATGTGAAAAGAGAAAAGAAGAATAATTCTTGTTGGATTAGTTGTTGACTATACATCACAAAGATTCATTATATTGGAATCTCGACGACTTGTAGTAACGTAAGTAATTAGTTTCTATATCATACAAGGTAAGTTGCTTTCTTCCATTAATGTGCTACATATCGTGAATGTACACATATTTTAACATTTAACAACACTGATTCACTTGACTTTGTAGTTTCTGAACAATGAACTAAAGATAGTGACCACTAAGCTCTATTCTTGTTCATAGACAGTGTCATTTATGCACCCAAAGGTGTAGCCTAGTGGTCAATGATGTGGATTGAGCACCATGAGGTCTCAGGTTCAATTCCCAACAGGGACAAAAACATTAGGTGATTTCTTCCTATCTGTTTTGAGACATGTTGTTGGTGGGAGGTGGAAGGTATCCGTGTAATCAGCTGAGGTGTGCGAAAGCTGGCCTGGACTCCACGGTCACCAAAACAAAATAAATTGAAGTGTCATTTATGTGGTTGTCTGGTCAACAAGCATCTACTAGCTTACAACAATAACTTTCCAAGCTCAGTAGTGAATTCATGTTCAATTAGAAGGATTTTCAATTTCTGTAACTTTCTCTAGTAATAATGAGCTAATGATGGAAAGCTTTATTTTTGTCCTACAACTTGCAAACCAATTTAAAGTTTAATTTTTAACCGATAACATTCAACACATAGCGTATTTTATGTTTATTAAAGCATCTTATAATTAAGAAGAATGACTACATGTTTTCCTGCCTTATCAGAAACATTTTTCTTTGTACCGAGTTCATGACTTGGTCTGTAAAAGGACATCACAACTTCTCAAAACTACAAATCTTAAGTTATTCCTTCCTGTAATTCGTAGCTGTATTTTATCTTTATGAAAGAATCTTAGAAATCAGAAACATTGCTACATAGTTTTCCTTACCAAAAACTTCGCACAGTTGGACCTCAAATTTATCTCTTGACCTATGAAGCAACATCATAAGTCTATGTAACCTTTGTATGTGGAAAGAGTTGATAAGGTTACCCAATGTATTTTTTTTGGGTTTTCCACTGCATGTGTTTGATTTAAGCTCATGTGCTGGAATGCGGCTCTACACCATAGGGTATCAGTGCTAGTGCTTCTTAACTAGTTCGAGTACAGGTTGCAAATGGTAATCATAGTTAATTTAGATATACTACAACTTAATTGAAACCTATCATTTTGAAAGGGCTACTGCAAATGACGCCTCCCATAGGCAGTAAGATTTACAAATGGAAATAGCATTGCTTTCTTTACCTATTTGAAGAAAGGAGAAACTGAACGAAGAATCAAAAACGTTTTGGTTGAATGACAAAATCAGTTTTATGGTTTGGGAGAAACATGTACGTTTGTAACCATGCCAAGAAAGATCAAAGCGAATGTTTCACTAGTAAAACATTTGAGGCACCGTATTTCTACTAGGAAATGGCAAGTTAAGAGATAATATTTTCTTGAGTAAAAGTTTTCAACACTTGAGGAACTAGTTTTAATTGCGAAAGCAACTATAAACATAAAGAAGTATTGAAAGATCAAGAGACACAGTAAACACAAAATGCTGTATCAATTATGAGTATTTTCTTCTGTTTTTTAATTATGTATTTGATTATTAATACTTTAGAACATCAAACATGAATGATTATTAAGTCCTTGATAAAAAAACATGAATGATTATCAAGTCTTGGAAAGCTATACTGTGTCACAATTTTTCTTGAAAAAATAGAAACTCTTTTCCGGAAGTATCTATGAGCTTTAAGCCTTGTCCAAATATCTATGACAAGTTGGCTAAATTCTATAAGGTTTTTAACTTTGTTTAGGACTAAGGAGGCCTTTTAGAACAAGAATTTTGGATGGGGATAGGTGATTAGAGAACCTTAACCTTATTTTGTGTGTTCTACTAATTATTGAATTCATCGGTATTGGGAGTTTTCTTATCAGTATTTCAAACATGCACGGTATACACGTTCCCCTGGGTAGATTCCTTTTGGGCAGTTCACTTCAATATCTCTGTTTGGGGTTACTTTTTATGGTTTTTCTTCTTTTCCTAGTTATTTTCTCATTTATGCTTATCTTCTTCGCTTTTCTTTACTCCCTATTCTTAAAGGGTCCTGCACTGTTGAGGTAGAGTTGTGATGACTTCATCATAAGATGCCATCAGACATCACCATCATTCTTTTCTTTACTCCCTATTCTTAAAGGGTCCTGCACTGCTGAGGTAGAGTTGTGATGACTTCATCATAAGATGCCATCAGACATCACCATCGTAGTGTAAAGATCTATTCAAGTATTTTAAGGGGGATCATAACCTTCTTTGCTTAGATTTATTTATTCAAATAATTTGCTTTCTTTGTTATGATTCTCGATTGACTTATTAAGTATTCTTTATAATCGTCTGCGGTAAAATTTCTGATAAGCCAGTGATTTTGGTCTTGTTTGTACTACTTCCATATCAGTCAAAATGAGAGCTTATTGTATGCGCTTCAATCGGTATATCATC